CCCCCACAAGGGTGCCATGCACCTGATTTACATTATTGGTAAGCTATCCAATCCCCTTTGTGGGCCACAAGTACCTAATCTGCATAGTCCTCTGTCATTTGGTGGAAGTTACAAAGACGATGGTTAGAAGGCCCATATTAAGTAATTCACTGCACCACACCTGGACATTTATTCTTTCTTGTTTTTTTCTGGCACAACATACATGGTATGCCAGTAGCTTTTGGCTGATGCTAAACTTTGCTGGTAAGAGTCCCATTTTTAAAAAATAATTGCTTTTGAATTAAATTATAACATTACTAATTCACATTAATGACTAGGAAACTCTTTACAAATTACTAGATTTTTCAAATTGGTGGGTGAGTGAACAAATACAACTTAGAAGACTCAAAGATCAGTTTTACAAAATGTGCTTTCTTAATTTCTAGTTACGGTGAAGTTATGCATTATTTTTGTTAATACTTTATGGTACAGCAGTAAAAACATAGTACGAAAAAGAAGTGTTGATGTTACTATAAGACCTCATGCATCAGTCTGTAATATAAAATCTAGGTGAACAATAAAGAAGCTACTGCAGCAAACAATGACATTGGCAGATAGAGAACCTGCGAGCTTTTATATTAAAGGATTTTTTATTACTTTTTCACAAGTCAGAGAAAACTAATTTTGTAAGCACTTTATATTTAACTTGTTTTATGTCTAGTTTTGTCTTTTGTCTTTTCCCAGATTTTCACACAGGAATTAATGAATATTTTATTACAACATTGTAAAAGGTGCTCAGTGCTGTATCTTTAGTTTGCTTTTTGAGGCAGGCTTTGTCTTGGTACTGCAGTGTAGATTTGGTGTGAGTTTACAAAAGGGGAAAATGTACCTGCAGTGACAGCTGGCCTTGCTGTGCTGTTACGAGACCTCTCAGACTCACCAGGGAATTGAGTTTGCTGCAGGGGACTTTCCTCTTACATGGTTTATCAAATATCTTATAATGTTTTGAAATGTCTATTTTTATATTGAATACAGAGAAAAAATAAGATTTAAGTAAACTTTATTTTTACTTAATTTTTTATTCCGCATCATGTTGGATTTCCACATCAGGACTTAAGACATCTGCTGACTAACTGTTTTTATGTAGGAATTAAAGTGAGCATATCAAGTTGAAAAAATACTGAACAACAAAACAGTCATGCTGTATCACATGGGCTATGGATAAAAGAGCAACAGGATCTAACTGCAGTCTATCCATAATATACCAATGGGTTGATAGTCTGTATTTTATAGTTAATGTGCAATATTTAGAATACAAAATGCTTTTTTATTTATTAGGGAAAAAGTGTTGTACATGGTCGTAATATTTTCACAATAATCCTTTCAAAATGATTTATCAGTGCTAGAACTGAACTACATACCTAGGAGATCTAGCTATCACTCATAATATTCCTTCTTATGGAAAACTTATTCCAGTTTCAGCTGACCAAAATATTAGGAACATATATGTCAACCTTCACTTCCCACCCCCCACACCTTTACACACTGGTTTTAGCAGAATGGGGAATCCTGTGTGGTCTTCTCAAAACCCATGTTGTTGTTGTTAGTTAGTTGCCCTTCAATGGGCTCTGACTCATGGCAGACTTATGTATAACAATGAAACGTTGCCTGGTTCTGCATCATTTCATGATCACTCATCTAATCATGAGAAAAACAGACAAATCCC